GTCACTGCGTGCCTATGTAGGCATTAATCCCTTAAGTCTTGCTAGAATGAGGACCCTGTTGAATCCAGGCCCGTCTGTCCTTCACTTGGCCTTCAACCTTTGGAAAGCTGAACCCTGCTCCCACTAGGACCCCAGACTGTCCCAGGGAGTCCCCAAGCCAAGTCATTCCCTTGAGTCACTCAAGTTCTCAGCCCCTCCCCGCTACCCCTCAGCTGGGCTGTTCCTGTCCAAGCTGCCTCAGAAGGTTTCATCTCTGTGCCCAGATCACTGTGAGCCCCTGAGCTGTGTGTGTGTGTGTGTGTGTGTGTGTGTGTGTGTGTGTGTGTGTGTAAGGGCATTGGGGGAAGAACCCATCAACTTAGTCAAAGAACCCTGGGTTCTCACCCGAGCTATGCCGCCACCAGCCAGCAGTCATCCCAGCAGATTTCTATGCCTGAGCCTTTATTCCCTTACCTGCAAAGCGGGGACAGTGTGCTCTGCTACATCACAGGATATTAAAAGGAACCAGTGAGACAACAGCAGTGCACAGTCTTGGCCTTGCATAACATGGAGAGCGACCACCACCACCCAGTTCAGAACCAAACATGAAACATGTTACTTATCACGAGTGTCTCATCTCCCCAGAGAAGAGTTGGGAAACAAAGCCAGCCTCGTTGAGCACAGCTCTCACACCTGTTATGTTCAGTGCTAGCAGGGCTCCCCATAGAAGGTTGGAGTTGGCCCCATTTCACAGATGAGAAAACTGAATCAGGTAGATGGAATAATATGCCACTACAGTGCAGCAGGGGGCATCCAATGGGCAGTCTCTCTTTCCTGCCACCTACAGGGCTTATGGTGGTTGGGGTATAAGGTAGAGGTGAGGGTTTGGATCTTTTCTTCAGACTCACAGGAGGGACTTGGCCAAGAAGGTATCTCTGCATGGCAAAGGAAACCAGAGTGTAAACAGGGCTCCACCCATGCTGGGGCTTCTGGAGGACACCTGTGTGTTCCCAGCAGTGTTCTGTTCCCAGCAGGCAGGGAAGCAGCTGGGTGGGCTTAGTCATCACTGGGGGGGGCTGCCTTTCCCCTGGGTCTCGCTCATCCCAGGTGGGAAGTTTCCTTCCTCCTGCCCACCTGCCCTCCCCCTCCCAACCAAGCCCACCCCAGTCCTCCTCCAGTCCTCCACATGGGGCCTTTAAACCTGCCCAAGTGAGGGGCTGCCTCAAAGTGGCTGTATGCATGTTTAGGACCTAAGAGGAAGCGTGCACAGGCTATACCAGCGTGGGAACAGCCTGTCCCTGCATGTGTATTCTTTTAGATGAACAGCCGTGCTGTAGTCCTCTGATAGCTTTTAAGGTGTGTGTCCTGTTATGTGTGCGTGGGGGCATGGGAGACGGCCTTGGGAATGCTTGATCGCTAGTGTGCTTGTGTTCGCTGGGGAGGGGTGTCTTGTCCCAGTATTCTCCACCAACTCTGTAAGTGCGTGTTTGGTGTGTGCACAGCCTGCAGCTTATGCTTCCACTCAGTAGCTCTGCACACGTTTGTGCGTTCTTGGAGTGCCCTTGCACACCTGCGTGTGTCCTGTGCGTGAACGGAGACCAGTACGTGTCGACTAGGTGGGAATCTGTGAGTCTGCGTCCTGCGGGTCTTTGCTCTGCTGGTTCCGCGTTATCCTGTGAGGGTGCGCGCGTAGAAGGCGCCCAGGTGGCCTTGCCGCTCGCCAGCGCGTGTGCGCGCGCGGGGTCCCGGGCCAGCGCGCACGCCGTGTGAGTGCGAGCGCGAGTGCAAGTGAGTGTGGCGGCGCTGGCTTGCTGTGCTCGCTCGGCGCCCGCCCGCGCAGCCCGCACACTCACACTGCTTGGTTGCTGCCGGGTGACGCGGGCTGAGCCCGCCCCCTGCCTGCCGGCCCCTGGCACTCACTCGGCCGAACGCCGCGGAGCAGGCAG